GCTCTGCTGCAGGTTTAGTGTGTCCCTAGGCTGGAGTGACACAAATGGGTCCCTATGGGACTTGCCTCTGTCTGTGCTGCTGTGGGTGTGTCCTGATGTACCCCAGTGAGGCAGGTACCTGTGCTGTCACACAATTTAAGATCTTGGCACCACTTCCTTTGCAGGGACAAACACAACAGGTGTCACCTGGCCAAGGCTGTCTGGCTGCCAATCCACCTGTGGATGAAGTAACCCCTGTGGGAGCCAGGGTAGTGATGTGACAGTGGCCATCAAACTGCAAAAATGCCTCACAGCCCCCAAAATGAAGGGAAAGGTGCTCTAGAGCAAGCCCAACATGTCTGTGCTGCTCACTCAGTGCTGTCCATGGAGAAGCCTCACCTGGGGTCTCCCTCCCAAAGCAGAGGTGCTGCTACTTTGGTTCAAGCCACATGCCAAGAAACAACCCAAGCTGGCTTTCCTGAACCTACACTTTAAGAATTGCTCTTTATTTCTAACAAAGAAAAAAATTAATTAAAAAACATCTAATTAAACAGTAAGTCATGACAAGGTACATGAAACTTGGAGATAACACATGCCTGGGAGGCACTAGGGAGGTTGAGACAAAGCCCAGTATGTTCACCAGTACCCGCGTGTGTTATCTCACATGAACACACACCTGGGCTTATCCTGGTGTAATTATAGGACATTAAAAATATAATTTTAATGGAGGAATGGTGATCTGGATGCAGTTCAGAGTAAAAACTTTCTTTTTAAGTTTCTCTGTTTGATTAGTAGGTGTTCCTGCTGCGCACCCTGTGCACGCGAGGGGGAAGCGCTGGGACTGGGAGGTGTGACTGTGTTTTGAGGAAGGCTGCTCTATCTCCCTGTGTGTGCAAGGGCTTGTCAAAACTTTAAAGCATTCGTGAGCAGCACTAAGGCAGCAAAACTTCCAGTCAAGACTCAGCTTGTCCCAGGTGAGCCCCTTTTCCTACTCAGGCAAACTACTGCTGCAGATGAAGCTGGAGAGAGCTAGGAGGGCTCCCCAGCGAGCCCAGCACCCTGCAGCTGACTGGAAGCCAAGTACCTCCACCCACGGCCCTGGACAGTCCTATAAAAGCTGTGTCTTCGCAGCCCCAGGTGTTTTACAGGATGATCTCATTTATTACCTTGCTCGTCACAGGAAATGATGTTTATCTAATCTACCATTCTTTCAGGATTTCTTTTTTTTCCCTGCCACATCTGGCTTATTACATTTCTTACAGCTCAATTCCTCCTTGCATCAAAACAAAGGAGAAATGGCACTGCTGCCATCATGTCAATGCCTCAGTCCCACCAGATTGAGAAGAAGCTGAGAAGCTTCAAAACCTGGAGTTTGCGTGCGGTGCGGAGTGGATCTGAGGATCTCAATCTTAATCTCCCTCCTCTGCCGCATTCCTTAGTAGTGACAGCTACTTCTTGCAATATTCCTGACTGTGGGCTCTGAGGCACAGCTTTCCATCTGTCTGTCCAGTATCCAGCCAAACAGGTCCACATTCCTGAGCAGAAATGCTAGCACTGCCCCTTGGAGCAGCTGGAAAGCCTCGGATGGAAATTGGAGCAAGTCACAAACATGAGGGACGGCAACAGCAGGCAGATCCACAAAAACAAGGGACCAGTGGCAGCACCAGATCCACAAACCCAAGGCACAGTGGCAGGACCAGATCACACTGGCCCAGTACAGAGCCCGGGGATGTGCGCTGTGCACGCCTGGGTGCCAGTGTGAGCCCACGCTGGTCACACCCTGTTCTGTCTCTACTCCAGGTTGTAAAATGCCACAGCCAAAACTTGTGCCCGTGAGCGGCTGCACCGGGCCCTGTGGCTCACCCTGCTCCCTCTGTCACAGGGCTCCAGCTCACTCCAGCCCACTGCCAGCAGGACCCCGGGCTGCTCCCACACCCCAGTGTGTCCCCAGTGCCAGGGAAAGAGATTTGCATTTTTTTTTTTGTAATAAAAATGCTCTCTTAGAAGCTTTCTGCTGATCCCAAAAGGATGTGAAAGCAATAAAACCCCTCCTTATTTTACAACCAAGCTGCAGGATTTTTTGCTACTGAGCACAACGACCTAATGCTTGATTTCATAACCAGAAAGTTGCACCCTGCACCCAGAGCTCAGGGCTTGCTGAGTTTTATATCTGAATTTTTTATGCTAAATTTTATGTCTGGAGGGTCTCACAGCCAGACCTCGGTAGCTGATCTGGGCATCTAAACAACAGGGAAGCAGGTGAGTGGAGAAGAAAATACCTGAACTGCTGTAGACTAAAGCAGCCAGAGCCCCAACTAAACTTTTTCAGAGCTAATTTTAATGTTTTCCCAGTCTAATGTATCCCTGGTCTTATAAAAATGTTTGGAAGTAATAATAATAATAATAATAATAATAATAATAATAATAATAAACCCAACCACAAACAAAACAACAACAAAAGAAAGATACAGAAAACAATTTCTGACATACTTCGGGAAAAAAAGGGAGAATGAACAAACAGAGGTCCAAGATATCCATAAATGTTCTGCTGCCCTATCCAAAAATTTATCCATTTAATTCCCGAACAAAATCTATCGTCCCGTTTGTCACAACAACACGAGGCAGGGGGGAAAACGCATCCTCTGCTTTTCAGAGCTATCACATCTCTCCCTGCTCCGAGTGAAATCCCAACTCACACACCGCACCCCACAGCCAAACTAGATCCTCTCACCAGGGGTTCCCGGTACCCCGCCTCACTCGGCGCCTCCAGCCCTGGGGATCACCACGGCGATAACGAACCGGAACCAGTCCCGAAGGCAACGCTGGAAATGGGTATCGGAACGTCTGTTTCCAGCCGGGATCTGCTTCCCTGGGCTGCACCCGCCGGGACCCGGCTCCCCCCGGAGCGATGCGGGCACCGCGCAGCCACCGCCGGGACTGCAGGATGGGGGTCCCGGGGCGGTCCCCCAGCCCTTGCTGAGGCCAATGCCCCCTTTTCCTCTCTGCTTAATTCGGGGTTACCTGCAGCCAGGGGGACAGAGCGCTACGGGCTCGAGAAAACACTTGGAGGGGAGAGGGTGGCAATGCACCGCGTCTCCGAGATGCCCACAAAATCCCTGGAATTTTACTAACGGCTGGAACCGTGGAAGTTTTTTTCCAGGAGGAAAAGAAGGGAAAACAGACACGTAGTCAGGGATGCTCCCACACAGCGCTCCGAGGCACCGAGCAGCATCTTCCCCGCGTCCGCGGCAGGGTCCATCCATGCGGGGGGACATCGGCAGTGACCCCCATCCATGGGGATGGCCCCGAAATCCCGGGATAAGGGACAGGACAGGCTGCGGAGACAGCGCGGGGATGCGGGCTCTTCCCTCCTGGTCCGGGATGTTTCTGACGTGGGACTAAATGCGACTTCAAGGATAGGAGTTAAACGGGAGATTTGGGACAGGTGATTAATATTTTGTTGAACCAGGACAACAGTGTCTCGGCAACTAATTAGGAGAGATATATCTGTTTTCACACGCAAAGATTTCTATCAGGTTTCTGTCCGACGGCCATTCCGTCAGGTATTCCCAGGATTAATAGGTATTTGGGATCTCGCTGCGATTTAGGACAAAACTGCTCTTTTTAGGGTTTACCCTCGCTCCCTTCAGAGAGAGGATCCTCGAGTCCTGCTGCTCAGCCGTCCCCTCCTGCACTTTCTGCCCGGGACCCTCCGGGAGCTGCCTCAGATGGTTTTAATTTAATTTAATTTTTCCTGGGGTGTCATTCACTCGCGGGGACCCGGGCTCGGCTCTGCCAGAACACAGCTCAGAGCTAACAGAGCCAGGAGTGAGAACGACCACGTTTTATGCCTTCTAAAATATTAAATAAAGCCGAATGTAAAGGAATTTATTCCCCGGGCCGTGTGGAGGGCAGAGGCGTTTGATCCGAGATTCCCGGCTGCAGCTTCCATAATTCCTCACATTTCTTTTGAGCTGAACTCTCCCGGTTGGGAACTTCCAGGGGCAGGGAAAAGGGAGTGTGGCTATCGGCTCCAGTCCCGATCTCCCGATCCCCGGGTGGGTGATGGAGCCCCCGCTGCTGCCGCCGCTTCCAGGAACCCGCGGTTGGCTCCGTCCCGCAGCTTCCAGTGTGGCTGCCCAATTCCCCCCACAAACACACCCTTGGCTTTGGATTTATCGATTTCTCCAGCCGACACGGAGCTTCGCACTCCAAACACAGGAAAAATAATAGAAAAAATTAAAATAATAAAAAAGAAGGAAAAAAACAGGGATGGGAATATATATTAATATTAAAATAAATTTTAAATTCCCAAACAATAACGGGCGTGGAAGAGCAAGTGTCCGTGAGCACAGGCATTGTGGTGGAGCTCTTTGCACCATTCCCACCTTCAGCAAGAGATATTTTAATTTTGTTTTTCTTTCTGTTTTGGGGGGTTTTTTGTTTGGTTTTTTTTCCCTTTCCAAGACTAGAGAACGAGAAAATCTCCAAGGGCAAAAACCAGGCACTAAACAACGACAAATCCTCCCGACAGGAGACAAAAAAATTCCAAGTAATGGCGCTTTCGGAAAGAAGAGGAGAAAAACCCCAACGAGCCACTATAACTCCAACCGAACTTCCAGACAAACATCCTCACTGCGAGGTGTTTCCCGGGGGTTCCGGGGTGCTCCTGCCCGGCCCAAGCCGCCAAGGTACGGTCGGTGCCGGCCCACGCACCTCTCAGATTCTTACAACCATTCCTCACACCAGAATGTTTAATGAAACGCCTCTCTAGCGTTCCGATTAAAGCTCAATTAATGCGGGTCATTACTGTCCCGCTGGCAGCCGCGTGCTCCTAGAACAGCCTTTTCTAAGGAAAGGGGCTGCGGCGCACCGGGAGCGCCGCTTCCCTGTGAAACCACCGGTGGCAGCTGGGGAAGAACCTCACGATCGGGAGGTTTTTCGTGCAGTTATCGGGGATCGGCTACGGCCGGGACCAGCACCGGGACTGCGGGGCCGTAGCACGCACCGGCCCAAGTTACCGACCCGCCCCGGTGGCTGCGGTTCCGTTCGCACCGAGGGTCGGCGGTTAAACGCGTCCTTCCCATCCACATATTTCTGTAAAAAATCGCGGGGAGAAGCCAAAAGCAGTGCTGGAATATTCCATAGTAGGGATCTCCCCGAGCATCGCGCTGGAAGCTTCCGGGGCTCCCTCCTCGTTCTCGCAACGCCCCGGCGGAAGGTTTGGTACAGAAACATATTAGGGAGTTGAGCTGTTTTACTCACCGGTTCTTTGGGGTGTGGGGGACTGGTCAGCATGCGGGGCAGAACCGGACTCGGGAGACCCCTCTGCCCCCGTTCCTCCCCTCCTGTCCCGGAGCGAAAGCCCGGTTCGAAACCCCGGTTCTGGAGCGGCAGAGGGGCGGTCTCCGCAAACACGGGTTTTACCGAGGTGGGGACACTCCCGGCTGCAAGGACGGGCAGCACCGGCCCCAAAGCCGCGCCACTTCTCGTCTCCGTTAAACGCGTCCTTCCTCTCGGTACCAGCGCCGCCGAACGGGCCCGATCCGGGTCCGGGCCGGTGTGAAGCGGTTCGCGGCCCGCGCTGCCTCCCGCTCCTCCGAGCTCGGGGCTCCGGGAGCACCGGGAGCTGTCGCCGAGCGCGGCCGGGGCATCCCCGGGCTTTCCACGCAA